AGCAGCAGCTAGCGCGCAGCAGCAGCAGCTAGCGCGCAGCAGCAGCAGCTTAGCTGCTGCAGCAGCAAAAAGGAAAAGGAACAAAAAAGGAGACACAAAAGGAGAGATGCAGCAGCAGCAGCAGCAGCAGCAGCCCCTGCGGCAGCAGCAGCAGCGCCTTTGCTGCTGCTGCTGCCAAAGCAAGCGCAGCAGCAGCAGCAAAGGCGCAGCAGCAACTGTTCCTTTTCCTTTTTGCTGCTGCAGCAGCAAAAAGGAAAAGGAACAGCAGAGACTTGTGGAGTCCAACCCACAATCTGGAGAACTCGAGAAACTCTTTGCATGCGGGCTTTGAGACTTTTGGGGCTTTCTTTGCCCCGCAGCTGCCACTCGCTGCACAAAAGGCCCAGCCCCAAATCCGCAGCCAAACGCTCCGCAGCCAACACCGGCAAAGTGGCCTCGGGGCGACGCGGCGGCTGCATGCAGCAACAAACAGCCCCAACGCATGCATGCATGCATGCATGCATGCATGCATGCACGCATGCATGCAGGCATGCATGCATGCATGCATGCAGGCAGGCAGGCAGGTGCACTGCATGCATGCAGGCATGCAGGCAGGCAGGCCTGCATGCGTGCATGCATGCATGCAGGCACACTGCATGCATGGAGGCAGGCAGGCTGGAAGAGCGCATGCATGCAAAGCACTGCCGTGCAGACGGCAATGAAGTGCATGCATGCATGCAAAAGTGTGTGCATGCATGCATGCATGCACGCATGCATGCATGCATGCATGCACGCATGCGTGCATGCATGCGAAAGAAAGAAGACATATTACCAAAGGCCCCCAAGTGGATGCAGAGAAAGAGACAAAAAGAGGGAAAAAAGAAAAAAGAAGAAAAATGAGAAAAGATAAGGATAGGGGAGGAAATAAAAGGACAAAAAAAACACAAAGAAATGCAAAGAAAAGAAACAGAAAAGAGAGACAAAAGAGAAGAAATAAATTAAATAAAACAAAAAGGATACAAGAAAACAAAATAAATGGAGACAATCTAAAAAACTAAAAATAAAATTCACCTCGTCGTAACAGAAGAAATTCTTTATGCCCAAAAAGCTGTCATCAGCCCCGCCAGCCTCTTTGTCTGCATGCAGCCTAAACCCTAAACCCTAAACCCTAAACCCTAAACCCTAAACCCTAAACCCTAAACCCTGAGTCCCTTGGACCCAGTCCTCAGAGCCATCCCCTACACCCTAATTTTTACTCGGAAGCCCCAACCCCGGCCGGCCCCAAAGCGCACCCCTTAACCCCAAACCCTAAACCCTAAACCCTAAACCCTAAACCCTAAACCCTAAACCCTAGAACTCACCGATAATGCCCTCAAAGTGGGCGGCCACAACGGATCCCGGTATTCTCCACAAGTAGTTCTTTTGGCCTCTGCAGCAGCAAAAAGAAAAGACCATTACAAAACAAAGGGCTTACAAAAGCAGCAGCCCCAGAAGCTGCAGCAAGAGCAGCAGCAGCAGCTGCTGCTGCTGCTGCTGCAGCAGCTCCCTGCGCATGCGTTCTTCCCCCCTGCTGCCCCCCCCTCAGGTGTATGTACAGCTCACAACTCATCAGCAGCTTGTGCTGCTGCTTCTATTAACCTCGCCTGTCTAGTTCTCATTCGGGTACTTCTCAAGTTGCTGCTGGGGGGCAGAGGGGCCCCCCTGCGGGGGGCCCCCCGGGGGCCCCCCCGGGGGCCCCCCTGGGGGCCCCCGCGGGGGCCAGAGGCCCCGGGGAGGCCTGTGGATTGGGGACTTGGAGACAACTGCCAGAGACAAAAGAGAAAGGGTTTTGCCAAGTCCAGGATCATCACAAAAGATGCCTCCAGTACCCTCTGCCTCCGCTTCTGCTGCTGCCTGCTGCAGCAGGGGGCCCCCGGGGGCCCCCCCCGACTCTTGAGAGCCCCCGCAGTACCCTAAAAGACCCACTTTCAAGTCTGCAGATAAGTACAGCGAAAAGCTGCCCCCGCAAGACTTCCCTGACAGCAAACGCGGCCAAATGCCGGAGGCAGCAGCAGCAGGCGCAGCAGCAGCAGCAGCAGCAGCAGCAGCAGCTGGTGCTGCTGCTGCTGCTGCTGCTGTCGCTGCAGCAGCAGCAGATCCAGGAATGACACCAGACCCGCTTGCTTCGGAGCCTGCTGCGGCCAGTTCTTGCACTGTTGGTGTGCTGCAGCTCGTGCCACTATTGCTGCTGCACCTGCTGCTCCTGCTGCTGCTGCTGCTGCTGCTGCTGCTGCTGTTGGACAGCAGCAACTTGGGGTGGCCGTCGGCAAAGACACGGAGACAAGTCCCCTGCCCCTGCAGCAGCCGCACTCCCGAGCTGCTTCCTGGTGAGTCAAATCCTGCTGCAGCATCCTCGTCGTATTCCGACTCTGCTGCTGCAGCTGCTGCTGCTGCTGCTGCTTCTGCTGCTGCTGCTGCTGGTTCTGCTGCTGCTGCTGCTGCCATGCCTGCTTCAGGAGGCGATGCAGATGCTGCCTCCGCCAGTCGTGGCATATCCGTTGCTGCTGCTGCTGCTGCCTCTGCTGCTGGCGTCGGCGCTGTAGCTGCTGCGGGCGACGTTGCTGCTGCTGCAGCTGCCGCTGCCTCTTCCGCCCCTGCAGCCGCTGCTGCAGCCTCAGCAGCAGCAGCAGCAGCAGCAGCAGCAGCACTTGGCGCGCGTGCGTCTTCCAGCCAGTTGCTGCTCGGGAGAGGCAGCTCGATCCAGGTGGAGAGACACTTCAGAAGATCTGCTGCTGCTCTGCAGTCATTTTGCTGCTGCTGCGGCCACACAACTTCAGCAGCAGCATCACTTTGTGTCTCCAAACTTCTTTCTTGTGTCTCCATTTGCTTCCCCGTGTCAGCAGCAGCAGCAGCAGCAGCAGCAGCAGCAGCAGCAGCAGCGGGGGCCCCCCGCGGGGGGGGGCCCCCCGGGGGCCCCAGCCGCAGCAGGGCCTCGTCTGCTGCTCTTTTTGCTTCTGCAGTTTTCTGTGCTGCTGCGCTGCAGCACAGCAGCAGCCAAGACTGCTGCGTGTCTGCAGGCGGCAGCTGTGGGGCCCCACACCTTTCTCTGTGGCGCAGCCACAGCAGCGCATGCACTTGGTGGCGGAAGAGCCCGCCCCCGCTGCTGCTGCTGCTGCTGCTGCTGCTGCTGCTGCTGCTGCTGGTGGGGCCTGCAGCAAGTGGGGCTGGCGGCCGCAAACTCCCCACGATCCCCTGGGATCCGATCCCGAGGGAGTGGATCCAACTGGACCCCACAGCTGCCAGTCCAGGAACAGCAGCTTGTGCTGCAGCCCAGTGCGTTTTGCTGCTGCAGCCAAACGAAGACACAGAGCGGGGGTCCAGCAGACACAAAACCCCCTGCAGCTGCAGCGAAGACAAGCCGCACAGGCGGCACCTGCACTGCCCTGCTGCTGCTGCTGCTGCTGCTGCCGCTGCTGCTGCTGCTGCTGCTGCTGCTGCTGCTGCTGCTGCTGCGGTAGGCGCGCAGCAGCAGCTGCTCGAAAGCTGCTGTGCCGCTGCCGTCCAGCGCGGGGTCGGCCTTGACCCTCCAGCCCTTTGCTGCAGCAAAGTCGAAGTGTCTAGACACCGTAGCAGCAGCAGGGGCCTCCGCGCAGTGCAGCAAACAGCCCCAGCAGCCGCAGATGCTGGGGCCCTGCAGCAGCGCAGCTTCCACTGCATGCAGCCACAGCCGGCCCCGCTGCCGCTCCTGCCGGTGCTGCTGCTGCTGCTGCTCCAGCAGCACCGACGGCTGCTGCTGCTGCTGCTGCTGCTGCTGCTGCGGGGCCTCGGGGGCCCCCAGGGTCCCCTCCCACAGCTGCTGCAACAAACCCGCCGGCAAAGCCGTCTCCAGCAGCGCAGCAGCAAAACCCAAAAAGTGTCTCCACTCTTCCCTGTCTGTTGCCCTCATTACAGTACCCACCAGGGGCCCCCACGACCCCCCAGGGGGGGCCCCCACGGCCACCGGCCTGCACGGCTCCCCAGCCCCAGGGGGGGCCCCCGGGGCCCCGGGGGCCCCCGGGGGCCCCAGCGCCCCGGGGGCCCCGGGGGCCCCGCCGGGGGCTCCGGGGGCCCCGGGGGCCCCCAGGGGCCCCCAGGGCCCCAGGGGCCCCCAGGGCCCCGGCGGGGGCCCCTCGGGCTGAGACAAGCGAGCTATGGTGGCTCGCGCCACAGCAGTGAGGGGGGGCCCCTCTGCTGCCAGCAGCTGCAGCACGTGCTGCAGCGGGAAGGAGAGCGGCAGCAAATGCTGCAGCACGAAGGCCTCAGCAGAAGTCAGAGAGAAGGAGACGGGAGACTCTCGCGAGGCGGAGCAGCGGAGGCAGTCGCTGCAGCAGCACAGCAGCAGCAGCAGCAGCAGCAGCAGCAAATAAGCCAGCAGCAGCAGCAGCAAATAAGCCAGCAGCAGCAAAACGGGTCCCTTTCTTTGTCCAGCAGCAAAGTGTTTCTCACCTCAAATTAATCCACACACAAAGCAAGACGCAGCCGCCAGCAGGCGCTGCTCGGGGGCCCCCGGGGGGCCCCCAGGGGGCCCCCCGAGGGCCAAGGGGCCCCTCAGGGGCCCCCCCAGGCAGAGGGGGGCCCCCTTGGGGGGCCCCCTCGCTGCAGGGGGGCCCCTTCGGGGGGCCCCCCGGGGGCCCCACAGGTACCCTGCAGGCGTCCAGGCGGCGGCCCGAGCTGCATGCGCTGCGGAGCTGGGCCGCGAGACTTAAAGCTTGTTTTCTTTTTTGTTTTTCTGTCAAATGTATTTCTTCCTGAGACAAAAAGAAGGAAAAGAAGAACTCCAAAATGAGCAGCAGCAAAGCAACAAAGCTTGCATGCAAACAGCCCAAAGAGCCGCAGGCACACGCGCCCGCGCAGCTGCCAGCTAGCTGCCTAGCTAGCTGCCCAGCTAGCTACCCAGCTAACTGCCTAGCTAGCGGCGTAGCTAGTTGCGTAGCTAGCTACCCAGCTAGCTGCCTAGCTAGCGGCGTAGCTAGCTGCGTAGCTAGCTGCGTAGCTAGCTGTCCAGCTAGCTGTCCAGCTAGCTGCCTAGCTAGCTGCCTAGCTAGCTGCCTAACTAGCTGCCCAGCTAGCTGCGTAGCTAGCTGCCCAGCTAGCTGTCCAGCTAGCTGCCTAGCTAGCTGCCTAGCTAGCTGCCTAGCTAGCTACCTAGCTAGCTGCCTAGCTATCCACGCAGCTGCCTGCAGGCCTTCAGGCGGGCCCACCTGCGCAGCATCTTTTGCAGCAAGTTTGCTGCTTTGCTGCTGCACGGAAATCCATTCTTCATCTGCAGCAAAATAGCACACAAGCAGCAGCAAGCCACAGCAAATGAGAATCCCAGGCCCTAGCTCTAGCTAGCTGGCTCTAGCTAGCTGGCTCTAGCTAGCTGGCTCTAGCTAGCTGGCTCTAGCTAGCTGGCTCTTGTTAGGTGGCTCTGGCTAGCTGGCTCTGGCTAGCTGGCTTTGGCTAGCTAGCTCTTGGTAGGTAGCTCTAGCGAGCTAGCTCCAGCTAGCTCGCTGTAGCTAGCTGGCTCTAGCTAGCTGGCTCTAGCTGGCTGGCTCTGGCTAGCTGGCTCTGGCTAGCTGGCTCTAGCTAGCTGGCTCTAGCTAGCTGGCTCTAGCTAGCTGGATAGTCGCGTGGCTAGCAAAGTCCGTACGCACTAGGGGAGATAGCTAGCCAGCTAGCTAACAGCCAGCTAGCTGTGACAGCTAGCCAGGTGGCTATCGCAGCTAGCTAGCCACTGCAGCTAGCTAATTATCGCAGCTAGCTAGCCACCGCAGCAGACTAGCCACTGAGCTAGCTAACTATCGCAGCCAGCTAGCTACCACAGCTAGGCAGCTACCACAGCTAGCTAGCTGTGGCAGCTAGCCAGCCAGAACAGCTAGCTAGCCACCGCAGCTAGCTAGCCACCGCAGCCAGCTAGCCACCGCAGCTAGCCAGCTACCGCAGCTAGCTAGCCAGCGCAGCTAGCTAGCCACCGCAGCTAGCTAGCTACTTAGGGCAAGCGAAGCCACTGACCCCCCAAGGAGTCAAACTCCGCAGCTGTGGGGCCCGTCAGCAGCAAAAGGCCCAGAGGGGCCCACGCGTGCTGCGGCAGCTGCCAGAGGTAGCCTTGGCCTGCTGCGCCCGTGCCTGCTGCTGCTGCTGCTGCTGCTGCTGCTGCAGCACGGGCCCCCCTCGAGGGCTTGTAGAGCTCGTAGTATGCTGCTGCTGCCGAGGCCATTTTGAACTTCCGGTGAGGCACAAGAGGGGCTTTTTGCTGCTGAGCAGCGGCAGCAGCAGCAGCAGCAGGCGCTGCATGCAGCAGGGCCTCTGGGGCCGCCTTCGCCGGGCCAGCAGCAGCAGCAGCAGTCTGCGGCCTCGCAACGGGGGCCCCTGTCTGCTGCTGCTGCTGCTGCTGGGGGCCCCCACTGCAGCAAGTGGGGGGCCCCCGAAGCAGCAAAGAAGCTGAGACAGAGCTGCCGCGCAGCCGGCGGGGCCCGGGGCCCCTAAAGGTAAGAGACGCGAAGAGAAAAGGCCCGGCAGCAGCAGCAGCAGCAGCAGCAGCGCAGCAGCACCGAGGCCACAAACGCGTGAAACAGCAGCAGCAATTCGTTTAAAAAGCAAAAAAAACACTGAGAAGCAAAAAGGAGGAAAATTGAATTCTTCGAATCCGCGAAAAGGCGCCTGCGGGAAAAACCTGCAAAACGGAACCCCAGCGGCTGCGCGCGGCGCTGGGCACTCAACTTGTGCGGAATCTGGAGAAAAGAAATTAATTTTGCAAACTTGAAAGTCCAGAAAAGTCAAATTCAATGAAAAGAAAACAAAAATAAAGGAAAGACGCGCCAGTTCACGTCGATGGGTTGTGCTCGTGTCGGTCCCAGGCCGAGCGCGGAGTTCTGCCAGCTGCTTCGCCAGATGTGTCCTTTTTTCCCCTTTTAAGCGCAATAAAACAATAAATAACTCATTTTAAATTCAATTCCACTCACGGGGACCTGCAGAGAGTTGCAAAGACAAGAAAAAAGTGATGAACGGCGTTTTCGGCGCGCACCGCGGGCAGGCGCTGAGGTGTCGAGACACCCGAATCGCCAGCATTTTGCAACTTCCAGAAAGCTGGCGGAAACTCTTCATTTTTGCATTTTTGAAAAGCGCTTTTTCTCCAGAAACACACCAGCACTAAACTCGACTTAACACGGGGGATCTTGCGCGAAAGAAACAGCCAAAAAGACCGCAAAAGTGAAAAACGCGAAAATTCAACTTCGCACAAGCCCTGGCGCCTCGCACAAACGCCTCTGAGCCTCTTCGCGCATTTTCAAACTCCCTGAGACCTTCTGCAGCAAATAAAAGCTTTTTATTCTTCAATAAAAAGCCAACTAAGTCCATTTGCTGCAGCAAATGGACTTCGAGCCGCGCCCTCTTAGCCTTGGCTGTGCGAACCGCCGCGGCCCCGCGCCCGCAACTGCTGCTGCTGCAGCAGCAGCAGCAGCAGCAGCAGCAGCGCCGCCGTTTCAGCTGCTGCTGCGCTGCAGCTGAGACGCCAGCCCTGCGCAGCTGCGGGCCCAAGCTTTTAATCTGCAGCTTCTTGAAGGCTTCGCTGTGTGCATGCAGATCTTTGCATTTATTCTTTTGGATTTATTGCATTTAGAGTCTTTAAAAACCCTCACTGCTAATCCCAAGTGCAGCACGTACACCCCAGTGTGCGGGCGGGCTTTTTGAGGTGTACGTACACCCGAAAGCTGCACAGGCACTTGCTGCGGTGTACAGACACTTCACTCGCTTCCGCAACCCTAAACCCTAAACCCTAAACCCTAAGCTTTCTGTAGAACGCAGAAAAGAAGATGGTCTACAGAGGCAGTCAAACCCTAAACCCTAAACCCTAAACCCTAAACCCTAAAGCCTTTGTAACCCGTGGCTGGGCAGTTAGAGCTCCACCGCTTTAACTGGGGGCGATTCGCTGTCGAAGAGGGCAGTGGAAGTCGAAACCCCAAACCCTAAACCCTCGGCGCCCTAAACCCTAAACCCCAAACCCTCGGCTCCGTAAACCCTAAACCCTAAACCCTCGACTCCCTCTAAACCCTGGAGGCGGGGGGAAGCGAAGAACTAAGAAAGACACGAATATAGGGGAAGGAGCGACAAAAGAAAGGACGTTTCGAGAAACCCTTTTTCAGGGTTTGCGAAGAGCAGCGCCGCTGCAGCTGGTCAGAACTGGCCGCTGGGGTGTACGTACACCGCAGGAGCCCGCGCAGGTTTCGGGTGTACGTACACCGCAGCAACCCCCTCTCGCATTGTGGCTTTGGACTTTTAAAAGATTCCAATTAGCGAATTTGGAGTTTTAAAACGCCGAAAGATTCCAATTAGCGAATTTGGAGTTTCAAAACGGCTGCGAGCTTCGGGTGTCTGTACACCGCAGCCCGCGCGCCCGTTTTGGGGTGTACGTACACCCCAGAGCGCGCGTTTTCGGGTGTACGTACACCCCAAAACGCGCCCCACAAACCCAACTCCGCGTACACCTCAAAACCCTTTCAAGCCCTCGCTTGTCTCTTCAAATGTTTAAACACTTGGTCTTTTATCCACGCCTTGTTGTGCGGCGCGTACGCGTTCAGCTCGCTGTCGTGCCTGCGCCCAACCCCAAACCCTAAACCCTAAACCCTAAACCCTAAACCCTAAACCCTAAACCCTAAGCCCTAAGCTCCGAGCCCTCATCCCCAGACCCTGGGCCTTGCGGGGTGGAGCCTCGCCCTGGGATGCGCCGGGATAAGGTTGCAGACTTTGGCTTGAGGGTTTGGAATTCAAGAGTTAGGTTTTAGGGTTTAGGGTTTAGGGTTTTGAGGAGGGCCTGAAGACTGCACTTCTAGCGCTAAGGGTTTCAGGCTAGGCTTCGATTTAGGGTTTAGAGTCCTGGGAGACGTAGAGGCCCTTGAGCTGGTCTAGGGTTTAGGGTTTGGCATCTAGGGTTTAGGGTTTAGGGTTTAGCGTCTAGGGTTTAGGGTTTAGGGTCTAGGGTTTAGGGTTTAGCGTCTAGGTAAAGGACTCATCTTCAGAGTTAAGAGTCCATTTTCCAGATTGTAAAGTACATTCTTCGGTGTTTAGGGTTTACGATTAGGGTTTAGGGTTTCGGATTAGGGTTTAGGGTTTGCGACTAGGGTTTAGGGTTTGTTTGAAGTGAGGGCTCATAGGGTTTAGGGTATATTTTTGGTGTTTTGAGGTCAATTTTTGCTCAATTTTTATCATTTTTTGCACATTTTTTGGCGAATTAATTCTTCGAGGGTTTAGCGTTTAGGGTTTAGGGTTTAGGGTTTAGGGTTTGCGGACACGAGGGCGCAAAGATCGTTGAGGGAGTCGAGGTAGCTGAAGAGGTCGTTGACGTCGTAGGTGATTTGCCGCAGCCGCGGCTCGGCCCCCTTGAGGGCCTGTTCGTACAACTGACACACGCCGTCCATTGCTGCTGCAACAGAAGCAAATTCCATGTAAGTTTTTGTCTCCCTGCGGTCTCCAAACTGCACCAAGAGGATCGTGTGCTGCTGCTGCAGCAGCAGCAGCAGCAGCAGCAGCAGCAGCAGCACACAACGCACAGCAAGCAGCACCAAAAATCACCCAAATCCGCCACAGACAAGCCGAGATATGCCCAATTACACAAACCCTCAGCCACATGCTGCTGCTGCTGCTGCTGCTGCTGCTGTTGCTGCTGCTGCTGCTGCTGCTGCTGCTAGTGGGCGGGGCTGTCTTTGCTGCTTCTACAACAGCTCCCAGTGTGGGACTTTTGCTGCTAGACTTCATTCTGCTGCTAATATTTATTTATTTATTTATTTATTTATTTATTTATTTTGGTTTTTTCAATTATTCCAATTATTCAAAAAGAGCTGAAGAGAATTAAACCCGAGAACGCGAACGCAAGCAGCAGCAGCAGCAGCGCAGCAGCAACAGCAGCAAGAGAGTCACTCACCATTGCGTACAAGTTTGCAGCAGTCTGTCTTAACTGTTGGTGCTGCTTTTGCTGCTGCTGCTGCTGCTGCTGCTGCTGCTTCTGCTGCTGCTGCTTCTGCTGCAGCCGCTGGTGCTGGCAATGCGGCTGCTGTCGCCGTTGCTGCTGGTCCCTCTGCGTCTTCTGCTGCTGCACTGGCTGCTGCGCCTTCCCCCGCTGCTGCCGCTGCTGCTGCTATCGCTGCTGCTGCTGCTGCTGCTGCTGCTGCTGCTGCTGCGCCTGCCACGCCTCAGAAAAAGCCAAAGCTAAAATTCAAAGAAATGCATTTATGGAAATTCGCCGGAGGCAAACAAAATTAAAAAATCAAAAGATGTTTATAGGTGGCGTTGCTGGCTCTGGAGGAGGCGGGACTGACAGGGAGCCGAAGGAGCGCAGCTTGAGCCCTAAACCCTAAACCCTAAACCCTAAACCCTAAATCCGGCTTTTAACTTTAAATTGGCAGTCAAAACAAATACTAATGGGCCTTGTGGGGGCCCCTTCTGGGGCCCCCCGGGGCCGCCAGCTCTGCGCATGCGCGGCGGCTGGCAGCAGCGGCTGTTGCTGCCGTTCTGCCTCTTAATTTCAGCAAATAAAAAGAATTAAATAATTAAAAAACAAAAAATAAATAATTTGTTCTTTTTTGCTGCTGCTTTGGCTCGTTTAAAGCTCTAAAGGAGCTGCAGCGAGGGGTTTTGCTGCAGCAGCTGCCGAGACACCGCAGCACAGCGACACCGTGCTGCACAACTTCAGCAGCAACCGCCGCTTTTTCTTCGAATAAATTGTTTATTTTCAAATTATGTTCTTTCTTTTCTTTGCCCCCCTTCATTATCTCAAAAAGAATACCATTTGAGCCAAAAGAAAGCACAAAAAAGGGTTTCAGGGGGCCCCTGCAGCAGCACTGGGGGCCCCCCTGCTCCCCAGGGGCCCCCTGCGACCCCGGGGGCAGCAGGGGCCCCCTGCTCTTAAAGACCCATGGGCCCCTTGGGGCCCCGGAGCCCCCCGGGGGCCCCCGGGGGCCCCCGGGGGCCCCCAGCGGCCCCCGGGGGCCCCTGAAATGGCAGTTTGCCTTCTTTGATCCTTTCTTTTGGCTCAAACTTGAGTGAAATAGAATAGCAATAAAGCAGGGCAACTGAGGCTCAGTTTTCCCCCCTTTGCTGCAGCGCCGTAGCAGCAGAGATAGCCTGTTTCTGCTGCTTTCCGCCTGCTGCTGCTGCTGCTGCTGCTGCTGCTGCTGCTGCTGCTGCAGTTGTGCCTAAACGTGAACAGAGAAGTTAATGCAGCAGTCTGGGGCATGCACACCTTGCCATGCATTTGCTGCTTAGCTTAATTTAAATTCTATTTATTAAATATATTATTATTTTGCTGCTGCTGCTGCTGCTGCTGCTGCTGCCTTTTGTTCGGCCTTTTCGGGCCCCACAGCAGAAGCAAAACGAAAGAAAGAAGAGGCAAAAAAGAGAAGAAGAGCTGCTGCAGTTTGCTGCTTCTGCGAAGCAAAAAATGCTTCAAAAAAAGACCGCAATATTTCCATTTGTTTTTTCAAAGCCCGAAAGGCCCCAGCAAAGCGCATGCAAAGTGCATGCAAAGCGCATGCAAAATGCATGCAAAGCGCATGCAAAATGCATGCAGAGTGCATGCATTTTGAGCTGCGAAAAGCCCCAAAAGATATGAAAAGGAGTTTAATTATATATATATATTTACCATAGATATACTTATATATATTTTATATTATTATAGATAAACACACATATATATTTATTGTAGATATATATATATATGTATATATATTGATGTATATATATATATTTATAAATCTATGTATATTTATATATATATTTGTACGAAGGTAAAAATATTAAGTACTCTAATATGGATGTCTGTGCAGCAGCAGAGCGCTGCAGCAGCTTTAAGAGACTCAGCTTGCTGCAGCAGAGAAGCGCGGGGCTTTTGCTGCTGCTGCGGCTGCTGCTGCTGTACTGCAGCAGCCGCAACAGCAGCAGCAGCAGCAACAGGGCTGTTTCCGTGGCAAACAGCTTCACGGGGAGGCAGCAAAGCCTTGAGCTACATCCATCTGCTTCCAGGGTTTAGGATCTAGGGTTTAGGGTTTAGGGTTTAGGGTTTTATTCGAGTTCTGCGGCCATCCTGGGTCCCCACCCCTCTCTCGGCCTTCATGTGAGGCATCACTACTGCTGCTGCTGCTGCTGCTGCTGCTGCCGTTGCTGCTGCTGCTGCTGCTGCTGCTGCTGATTTGCCTCGCAGCAAAAGCTGTTTCATTTGCTTCGCTTTTATCTTTGCTGCATGCAGCAGCGCCAAGCCGCTGCGAACGCTTTATTTCTTGCGCATGCATTTGTGTCTCTTTATGCGCACTAACTCTTATAATCAGTGCATAGATATATGTACATATATATATATATATAAGTATATATGTATGTAGGTATATATGTATATATATGTATATATGTAATATATATGAGTACATATACATATATATATATGTACATATATATATGCATGTATAAGTATATATGTATATAGGTATATATGTATATATGTATAATATGTATATATATGAGTATATGTGTATATATATATATGCATATATATATGTATATATATATGTATATATTTATATATGCATGCCTATATGATATACAGCTGTGTACTCTGTGTCTCAGTTTAAGTCAAAGGCCTGGCCTGCATGCGCTGCATGCAAAGCCCCAAAACTTCGCTGCATGCAGGGCCCCGGGGGGCTGCGTGGATTGCAGGTACAAAGAGATTAAAATTTGGTCCTTTTTGCAGTCATTTGCGGCTCTTTTGGAAGCAGCAGCAAATAAGTTGTGAATAAATTGGCACAAATAAGTCGGGGCTGCATGCAGGGAAGTTAAAAAGGCATTTAATTGCCCAATGTGCGTTTTTGTATCAGGTGTACGTACACTGCAGTTAGTGTGCAGTGCTCGCGGGCATCACTTTCTGCAGATGTATAAATGAATTTATTTCTATTTTTATCAAGTTTTATGTTTAATTTTTATTTATGCATGGGAGCAAATGACTTATAAGAGTCAAACAAGTACAGAAAATGTCGGCTGCGTTCGCTGCTGCAGTCACCGGCAGCAGCAGAGAGATGAGAGGCTGCAGCCACGGCAGCCACGTAGGCAATAGATGGGCCGATGAATAAGCAAAGAAATAAAAGATAAGACAGAAAATAATTCGAATTTTAAATTAATTTAAAGTAATTAACCAAAAAGTTCTTGAAGAGGCCAATTGTTGAATTCCGCCGCCTCGCCGCTGCGGTGTCTAGACACCTCACTCACGGTCACTCGCGGGCGAGGCGTGCAGCCCCACCGCTGGCTCTGGAGCCCTTCACTTTTTCTTTTTTCTGTTTTAATATTATTTAAAATTCGAAATAAAGTGGAAATAAGAAGAATAGAAAGAATTATTTGGTCGCGAAGAGCGGAACCACATGGTGCTGGCCGGGGCAGCAGCGGCTGGCTGGGGGAGCGGGGGCCCCCCAGAGGGGCCCCCCGGGGGGCCCCCCGACCCCAGTGTGCGGCTGCCGCTGAGTTTTACTGATGCAGAAGAAATAAAACACAAAAATAAAATGAAAGAATTCAAACAGTACCTCGTGGACACTCGCGTGGCTCAAGTGTTGGTGGAGAGTATGTACAGACACCGCAGCAGCGTGTGCAGACAGTTCGAAACTGAAGTATTTAATTCTCCTTCATTTCTTTCTTTCTTCAGTTTCCCAATTAAAGCATTTAAACTGAGGCTTTTAGCAGCAAAGTTTCCCCACAAACTCCCCCCAGTTGCAGATCTTGAGAGAAAAAGTCTTTTAAAAATCTTGAAATTAAAAATCTTTAAGATTTCGAAACTGAAAATCTTTGCAATTAAAATTCACTCTTTCATTTCCACGGGGCCTGCAGCTTCAACCCTGACTCCGAAGCTCCTGGAAAAACTAAATAAACAAAAAGTACAATTTTTAAATAAATTAAATAAATAAAATAAATAAAAAAAACAATTAAATAATCCCACGAGCTCACAAGGCAGTGCATGCACCACAACACGCCCAAAAGGGTACAGATTAAATCCTTAGGGGCCCTTTAGGGGCCCAGACGCGCTTTAAGGGGCCCCAGGGGGCCCCCAGGGGGCCCCTGGGGGTCCCGCAGGAGACCCTTTTGGGGCCCCCAGGGGGCCCCCAGGGGGCCCCCAGGGGGCCCCCCGGGGTCTTCTGAAGGCTCCTCTGCGGCGCCGCAGGGCCCCTAAAGGGCCCCTGTAAGATCCTTAGAAAGGTGTGGGGTTTTAAATACTTTAATTGGCATTTAAATGGTATTTGGGGGGCCCCCAAGGCCCCAAGGGGGCCCCCGGGGGCCCCACAGTCACCCTGGGAAGAGACCCCACACTTCAGGTGTCTGTACACCACTTCAAGTGTACGCTGGTGTCTGCACACACTGCCCTCTTAGAAACACACAGCAGCAGCAGCAGCAACAAGAACAGCAGCAGCAGCAGCAGCAGCAGCAGCAGCAGCTGTGGGGTGGTGCTGCGCTCAGTTTTGCTGAGTCTTAAGGAAAGTGAGCAGCTGCCTGAGGACCCTCAGCAGGTGTTTATTGACTACTTTGGGGAGTACAGGTCAGACGCAGCAGCAGTTGCTGTTGCTGCTGCTGCTTTTGAATTTGCTGCTGCTGCTGCGGCTGCTGCTGCTGCTGCTGCTGCTGAATCTGCGGCGAAGCCGCAAACTCTACTGAAGCATGTAATTCTAGCGCTGCAGCTGCTGCTTCACCTGTGTTGCTGCAGCGACAAGCCAGCAGCTTCTCAAGCAGCAAAAACAGCATCTGCTGCTTCACCGCTTGCTGCTGTTTAACACGTGCTGCTGCTGCTGCTGCTGCTGCTGCTTCTGCTGCTGCTGCTGCTGCTTGCTGCATATACAGAGACCCCATATTGGATGTAATTGAAGAGCTGAACAGCAAAAAGGAGACACTTAAAGCTGAGAAGGCACAAATGGAGCAAGCCATCATAGAGCTGGGTCAGCAGCAGCAGCAGCAGCAGCAGCAGCAGCAGCAGCAGCAGCAGCAGCATAAAGAACAGCAGCAGCAGCATCAATAAACGCGAAAGCGCTGACAGAACCACCAAAAGCTGTAGCAATGGCGCTGATAGTAGCAGCCAAACAACAGCAGCAGCAGCCGCAGCAGCAGCAGCAGCAGCCACGGCAGCAGCAGCAGCCGCAGCCGCAGCAGCAGCAGCAGCAGCCACGGCAGCAGCAGCAGCAGCAGCAGCAACCTCTGCCGTTGTACGTGTTATTCAGAGACAGCTAAGGAGACACTTCAGGAGCAAAACAGCCAAAAGAAGTTGTGGAAAGCAATTTGCAAACAAGGGGTAAAGCGCTGCGGGCTGCGGTGTATGTACACCTGAAGGCCGCGCATGCATGCATGCATGCATGCATGCATGCATGCATGCATGCATGCATGCATGCATGCATGCATGCGCGACTTTGCGCAAGTCTTCCGAATGAAATGCGAATTGTCTTTGGGGCTTTTGCATGCAAAGACACAAAAGCGAAAAAGAAATTGGGTAGTTCCACTGCGGTGTATGTACACTGGGCTGCTGCACATTGCAAAGAAGAATTAAATATTTTAATAAGAGATGAAATAAATGCTTTATTTTTTGCTTATTTTTATTTATTTGTTTCATTAATTGTTATATATTAATAGTGGATATAAGGATGAGCAAATGTTTGGTTTATTATTTGTTTATTTATTTATTCTTATATGTATAATTGTTCCTGTATAGGCCATTTAACTATTCCAAGTACAAGTACAGATATAAATGAAAAGAAATATAAAAATAATTATAAATCAAATTTAAATATAAATAAAACAAATCATGCAAACGAAACTGTGGGACAGCGCTGCGGTGTACATACACCTGAAGGAGGGGAAGTGCATTCAGCTTTCGAGTGTATGTCCAGCTGCATGCAAGGCCATAGCCACATGTGGAAATATAATTTCATTATATTTATATTTCTGCTTATTCTTTAAATAAATATATAAAAAAAGCCCATTTGCATGCAAATTTAAAAACTTAGAAATTAAATAAATAATAATTTCGGAATAAATGCAAAAGTTGTTTGCCCTGTGGCAGTTTAGTGCCAATATGTCTTCATGTGCCTTTGCATGCATGAAAATAATTGAAAGAAGTAAAAAGAAATCAAAAACAAATTAAAAAGAAATTAAAAAGAAATTAAAAAAGATATAACAAAGAAATCAAAAAGGAATCAAAAAGAAACTAAAAAAAAAATTAAAAGAAAAGAAATAAACTGAGACGATGGGACGTGCTGGGGTGTATGTACACTAGAGGGAAAGACAGCTCGCAGGCCACTCGAAAAAAGCCTGAATTGAATTTCTCTTTGCGTCACTATTGATTATAATTTAATAATTATTTAATTATTTAATTATTTATTTTGATTATTTATTTGTTTATTTATTTATTTCGATTATTTATTTATTCATTTATTTATTTATTGTTCATTATTAGTTATTATTTGGTTTGCCCGTTGGCCTCAGTCTTCGTTTGCAGCCAGCAGCAAAATTCGAAGGGCGTCTGAACTATCGAATTGTTTGTCTAATTGTGATTTATTTAATTAAAATTAAATAATTGTAATTGCAATTATAATTAAATTATTATTCTAATTACAATTATAATTATAATTAAATTATAATTATAATTATATTTATTTGTTTTTAATTCCTGTAGACTTCCATTAGCAGCCTCGCACTTTACCAAAAACTCGCCGACAGAAAACGCCCCAGAGGGCCCTTCAAGAGTTTGACTCTGACCCACGACTTGTTTTTGCGTCTGCTGGCTTCTCTGCCCCAAGTAACAAACCCTAAACCCTAAACCCTAAACCCTAAACCCTGGTTCTAGCCCTGCAGCAGCAGCGCACTGAGGGGATTAGAAAGAAAAGGGGAAAAGTGCGATTTGTGCGGTGTCTGAGCTGTACATACACTTCAAAGGGGTCTCGCAGCTAGGGTTTAGGGTTTAGGGTTTAGAGTTTAGGGTTTAGGAGGCCCACAGAAGCAGCTCGTGGCTAGTGATGGCTTAAACCTGCTGCTGCTGCTGCGTGTGCTTTGACTGCTGCTGCTGATCTTCTTCTCACTGCTGCTGCTTTTGCTGCGGCTCGCGCTGCTACTGTTGCTGCTACTCTTGCTGCTGCTGTCGGTGCTGCTACTGCTGCTGCTGCTGCTTCTGCTCTTTTTGCTGCTGCTGCTGCTGCTGCTGCAGGGAATGTCAAGTCAGATTCTCCAGCTGCTGTGCCCCACTGGGGATCCTTCAGAGTGTCTTCCTTCAGCGAATTTAAAAGATGATGGAGAAAACCAAATACTAAATGCTGTAAGCTGCTGCTCTCTACAGCAGCAGCAGCAGCAGCAGCAGCAGCAGCAGCAGGAGGCGCTGCAGCAAAAGAGCCTGCAAATGGACTTCTTTGTGCTGTGTTTGTTTCTTTGTTAAGGTAACTTCTGCAATAAATCAATTTCAAGTCAAAGAGGCTTGAGACACTTGGCGGCCGCAGCAGCTGAGGTGTACGTACACCTCTGAGGTGTACGTACACCTCAGCGCATGCAGCGAGCCCCGCAAACGGCTTTCTGCGTTTCATTTCTTTTCCTCTTTGTCAATGAATTAAATTCAAAAACGATTAACAACAGCAAAGGCTGAACTCAAGCATTTGAGACGCCCTTCGCTGCTGCCCTTGCTGCTGCTGCTGCTGCTGCGCTGCTGCTGGTGCTGCTGCTGCTGCTGAGCAAGGCAGCTTGTCTGCTGCAGTCGCTGTGAGAGGGCACAGCAGCAGAGGGCCCCACACTCCTCAGCGCATGCAACGGCGCAGCAGCAGCAGCAAACAGCCCCCGGGCAGCCTCATACGACAAACTGTAGCTGCTGCTGCTGCTGCTGCTACTGCTACTGCTGCTGCTGCTGCTGCTGCTGCTGCTCTATGCCGTGGAAACCAGCCGCAGTGCGTCCTGCAGCGCCGTTGTGTAGTGGTTTACTGCTTGCACAATATCGTCGTCTGCGCCTTCACGAGCCTGAGACGCAGCAGCAGCAGCAGCAGCAGCAGCAGTAGCAGCAGCAGCAGCAGTAGCAGCACATAGGTGCCAGTGCTCTCGCACAAGAAGCAGCAGCAGCTACAGCAAGAGCGGTAAAAGCAAGAGTAACAGAATAGGCACCAGAAAGAAAAGCAGCAGCAGAAGCAGCAGCAGCAGCAGCGCTAGTCTCAGTATTAAAGCGGCTTGCAGCAGCAGCAGCAAGAGATCACCGGCAGCAGCAACAACAGCACTAGCTGCAGCGCCAGCAGCAATGGCAGTGCTGCAGCTGCACTAGCAGCAGCACCACTAACAGCAGCCGCAGCCGCCGCAGTCCTGGCTGCACCAGTAGCACCCGCTTTGCAGCAGCAGCAGCAGCAACAGCAGCAGCAGCAGCAGCAGCAGCAGCAGCAGCAGCAGCAGCAGCAGGTTTACCTGGGACTCCAAGATGAGTCCATTCTTGAGGGCCGCCACCTCCTCCAAAATAAAAGTTTGGAACTTTTCTTCTCCTCTTTCTCGAATCCTTTTTGCTTCCTCGAGTTCTTCTCTCAGCTGCTCTATTTTCTGCTCGCGGGCGTTCTGCGCAGCAGCAGCAGCAGCAGCAGCAGCAGCAGCAGCAGTGCAGCAGCAGCAGCAGTGCAGCAGCAGCAAACAGCTGTCTACACAGGGGACATTTCTGCGTTGCGGCGCACTTGGCAAACGCGCCTGAGCTGCGCAGTAGCTAGCTAGCTAGCTAGCTAAGCTAGCTAAGCTAGCTAGCTAGCTGGCTAGCTAGCTGCGAAGCAACCAGCTAGCCAGAAAACTGCATAGGAGCTATAGCTGCTGCTGCTGCTGCTGCCGCAGCTGCTGGCCAAAGCCAGCAGATATCATCTACCCATCTGCCGTTGGCTAGCTGATTCGCTAGCTCGCTAACTACCTATTTAGCTAGCTGGCTAGCTAACTACCCATTTCGCTAGCTAGCTAGCTAGCTAGCTAGCTAAACTCTGTGGCTAGCTAGCTAGCCACACTAGCTGCTACCTAGCTAGCTAGCTCCCTAGCCAAATTCACTAGCTGGCTAGCTAGCTAGCTAGATTCAGTAGCTAGCTAGCTAGCTAGCTAGATTCGCTGGCTAGCTAGCTAGCTAGCTAGCTAGCTGCTTCAAAGCCTTACTTTCTCCGCCTCGAATTTGCCTTCAGTTCTGTACTCCAAGTCGCCGAGCCTTTTGGCTAGCTGCAGCTCGCGTTCCTGTCTGCTGCTCTTGTCCGTCTCAAACGCGTGCTGCAGCAGCAGCAGCAGCAGCAGCAGCAGCAGCAAAGCGTACGCAGCCAAAAGCACAGAGACAGGGGAGGCAGATGCACGCGCAAGCAGCAGCTGCTGCAGGGACAGCAGCAACTGCTAGCAGCAGCAACTCAGCAGCAACAGGAAGCAGCAGCAGCAGCAACTCCAGCCACAGCCACAAGAGCAGCAGCAGCAGCAGCACCACCGCCACCCCAGCAGCAGCAGCACCACCACCACCACCCCAGCAGCAGCAGCAGCACCACCACCACCCCAGCAGCAGCAGCAGCACCACCGCCACCCCAGCAGCAGCAGCACCACCACCAACAGCAGCAGCAGCAGCAGCAACAGCAGCAGCAGCAGCAGCAGCAGCAGGAGGAGGCACCTGGAGCGCAGCAAGGTCTGCGTTGATCTGGGAGTGTTTGTCTTCGGAGTCTCTGTTTTGTTTGTCTCTTTCAATTAAAAATTCTTTTTCAACTAAAGATATTCTTTCATTTAAAGCATCCACTCCGCACTGCAGCTGCTCGAACTTGTCCACAAACACCTGCGACAGCTTCTCCTGCACCTGCAGCAGCTGGCTCTCGAACATCTGCAGCAGCAGCAGCAGCAGCAGCAGCAGCAGCAGCAGCAGCGCTCAGACCGGCTCGCGCTGGCTCCTGCCAAGTGTCTTTCCAAACCCACCAAGCACCACCACAGCAGCACACCACAGCAGCGCAGCAGCAGCAGCAGCAGCAGCAGCAGCAGCAGCAGCAGCAGCAGCAGCAGCAGCAGCA